TTTTTTTCAAATTTCAGAGCTTTCAATACAATCTCTATGGGTGTCTGAGGGCTTGCACTTACGCGCTTTCGTCATACGTAACGTAACCATGAACGTAACTAAGAAAAGAGCGGATTGTGTCTTTGAAAGAAGTTCCTTTTTGTCGGCGAACAAATGAAGATAAATTGGCAACGAAACAATTAGGACCTCCCAGACCAAATTTAATAATTCAACAGGTTTCTACTAAAGGCGGAAAGTCCTACACCCGAGGATTTTCCAAAAATTGGTACGAACGAAAAAATAACATTGCCACTCAACTGGATGAGGGATACAGGCTAGCTGTCCGCCGCCACAACGATGAGGTTAGTGTTGATAATCACAAGTTTACTGGAGAACTGAGACCAAGTAGAGACTTTGGACAGGGTGGATATGGTATAATAAAGGCAGTTTATTCAGAGGTAAAGATATCTGGAATCGCGTGCACGGACCCGTTCGTCAAACTCTTAGGGAGCTATACATTAAGCCCCATTACTTACCATATCAGATAAGAGAAATTGCTGCAGCTACATATATTTTACATCCTGGCCCTACATAGTTCACTATTTGCATCACTTACCAAAATATTACATGTGGTCATATATGCTTGGAAAGTGGAGATGCCATAGAACGTCAAAAAAGTAAACATTGCTGGAGACACATTGCCGTTTTGGAGAAGACATCGCGTTTGCTAGCGAAGAGATTTGTTGTGGCAAATGAACTTGGGCTGGGAATTGCCAGGAACCTCACGATAAGATATATGCATTGCGAGTCTCATGATTCTATACGTATTGCGATTCGATACTGTGATTTTATTGCGCACCATATGTCTGTTGCAGAGGGATCAGAAAGCCATGAGAACGAGTTTTGATCAGTCATGGAAATAAAAGTGCTGAAAACAAATTGGCTCCCAATGTGAAAAGATTGAGAACAAGCTATGAAGGAACAATAATGGTGTTTTGGTGCAGGTACAGCCAACTAGCGCTAAAATATTGCGATATTGTCAATACAGTATATCGTAAAGTATCACTATGTAACTCGATTTCTTTCACCCCAATCCCTCAAATTAACGGTAAATAACTGAATTGTTTGCCCCACATTTAGCTAAGATGATTAGCTAGCCAGCTAAAATGTTTTATTTAGTTAGCAGTCGCATCTACAATAGTTTACTGTCAATAACATGTCTCCAAAAATGACGTGGTGTCTCCAATTGTGTTGACATTTTACAATTGCGATGCGCATCCATGAGTATCCACTTTCTGTAGCTCAGCTGGTAGAGCACGGCGCTTGTAACGCCAAGGTAGTGGGTTCGATCCCCGGGACCACCCATACACAAAAATGTATGCACGCATGACTGTAAGTCGCTTTGGATAAAAGCGTCTGCTAAATGGCATATTATTATTATTATTATTATTATCTGAAGAGAGCCCCGAAACATTGTGTGCAGACATTTTATGCAATAAATGAAGTAGGTTGAATCTAGTAGTTCTGATCTTCTGATTGGTCCTGATGAGTTGGGCGAGGTCCCCTCCAGGCTACTGTCACTGTTGCATTGGCTCTGAGTCGGGTTCTCTGTCTTCAAATGTTCAGCCTAAGAGAGGGGATTTTTGTGTGTGTGTGTGTGTGTTTAACAGTGATGATGTGTGTGTGTGTGTGTGTGTGTGTGTGTGTGTGTGTGTGTGTGTGTGTGTGTGTGTGTGTGTGTGTGTGTGTGTTTAACAGTGATGATGTGTGTGTGTGTGTGTTTGTGTGTGTGTGTGTGTGTGTCCTCAGAGCAAGAACTCGTGAGTTGGAAGAACTGAGAGGCCTATGGCGTGGGTGTTGTCCTTGGCCACCTGCTGACAAGGCTGACAAGATAGGACCCTTTTGTCCATTGTTATTGGATAGGAACAGAACTTATAACCAGCTCCTGACCTAAATAGATCTTAGCACAACATTTTACTCAACATATCATATTCCATATTCACTATAACAAATATATTTACTACGACATTAGCAAGAACCGCCACATCCTCAGCCGGCTAATCCAGTGTGTGAAGTTTTGCGGAGTGTTTGAGTTAGCTTTGCGAGGCAAAGATGAAACTGAGGGCTCCACCAACCCTGGTAAGCCAACACTTTTGAGATCAGTCAATAAATGCTTCTGGTATTGACTTATATGCTGCCCCTGTCTTCATGTTGTTGCTGGACATATCTTTTTTTAAATGTGTGTAGGTCACCTAAATCATCAGAAAAATTGCCCCCCCTGAGAATTTTTTCAGGAGCCGCCACTGCTGAGAGGTCAAGTCTCGATTTGTTTTGAATTTTGTCAATGGCAGTATTAATCTGACCATTTTTGTACCCCATCTTCTTGAATTTTATTTGCGTCTCAGACATATTTCGTTCGAAATCTGATTGTTCTTTATTAATTATTTTGACTCGACAGAATTGGCTGTAGGGCAAACTATTTTTCAAGGGAAGCGGGTGACAACTATCAGCCTTCAACAAACTGTTACGATCAGTAGGTTTCCTGTAAAGATCAGTGTACAGAACATTATCCTCACACAAAATCTGAAGATCAAGGAAACTGATTTGACGTGTGTCAGATTGCATAGTAAATCTCAGGTGCTCAGAACAAGAGTTAAGAAAAGCATAGAATGCCTGGAGCTATTTTAAGTCACCCTCCATAGAACAAAAATATCATCAATGTACCGTTCCCAAATAATAATGTTAGGCAATAAAACATGTTTGAGAGGATTGAAAATGGACTGTTTCGCAATGTAACCCACATACAAATTAGCATAGTTAGGAGCCATAGGGGATCCCATAGCAGTACCCTTCGTCTGAATAAAGAAATCATTTAGAAACATGAAGTAGTTGTGTGTGAGTACTATTTCAGCCAGTGTTATAATGCATGCACTGGAAGGTAGTTCATTTGGGTCACGTTGCAGAAGAAAATGTTCCATGGCTTCAATACCGTCCTCGTGTGGAATATTCGTATATAACGACTCAACATCAAAAGTAACTGACAAGGTAGTATCAGGGAGAGGATCAAGAGATTCAATAATAGAGCTCATTCTGCTGGTGTCCTTTACAAAGGAGGGGAGCTGTTCTGCGAAAGGTCTAATAAAAAAGTCAACAAAGGTCGATAAAGGGGCTGTTACTGCACCAATACCCGCTACAATAGGGCGCCCTGGAGGTTTTGTATCATTCTTGTGTAATTTCGGCAAAGTATAGAAAGTGGCAATTTTAGGGTGTTGAATAGCCAAAAAATCGTGTTGTTTTTTGGTGATTTGACCAGAACTTAAATACCCATCTAGGACAGTAAAGATAGTGTTCTGAAATTGGGAAGTGGGGTCACTTCTGAGTTTCTTGTAAAAGGTGTTGTCAAGCAGTTGTCTGTGACACTTATTTACATAAACTGTCCTATCCATGAGTACAACCGACCCACCCTTATCAGCAGGGCGGGTAAGAACTGACGTATCGGATTGTAAATCAAGCAAAGCTTGTTTTTCATCCTTGGGTACATTTTGAAAGATATATACTCCTGTTTGTTCTTAAGGAGATTACCAACATCTTTTTTCAACGAGTCTGCAATATGTCTCAATAAAGTGATTGAGATTGGCTGGAGGTACAAACTAACTCTTCCTTCTGAAAGGAGTCGGAGTATGTGCAGGTGAGCCACCTACATGTTCAGTTGAAATATCATGATTAGGGGAGCTAAAGTATTCCCTTAAACGGATGTTTCTAAAAACATAAACATGTCTACCTTAACATCGAAATCGTTGCACTGAGTTGTAGGCACAAAATATAACCCTTTATTAAGCAAGGAGACATGGGCAGGACTCAATATCTTGCTTCATAAATTAAAGACACTCAGTCCCGTGGGTTCTGGGAACGGTCCCCTCTGCCTCTGGTAGTCGTTTTTTACCCCGTTGTGTACCGCATCTCGTCGGTACGCGTGACCGCGGCCACCTCCGCGCTTCCGTCTGCCCAGTCTCTCGTTGGATAAAAAACTGGCACTGGAAGCGGATGAGGCGCTAGTTGTAGAGCGTTGGTCAGACGGGAGTGGATAGAAGTTAGCGGCCTCCCTCCTGCGTCTGTCATGGAGAGGAGGAGCAGGACTTCCTTTGTCAGGGTTTCTCCAGAAGTAGACTGCGAAATGTAGCCTAAGCTCCTCCCACTGGTCCAAAATGCGTGAAACCGCAGGTTCAATGGAGAGCCAACGTGTGGCACACGCCTTGGTTGTCTGTAAAGGTTTCTTCCCACAGTCGATGGTCTCGTATATGGCCTTGTAGGTCTCCCTGCGCTTTGGTGACACTGAAAACCAGTTATAAGTCTCTCATACTACACTACGGGGGATGGTGTCATTGGAAGCATGATTTACAGCAAGCTGCAGAGAGTGGCACACACAGCGAATAAGAACCAGATCTTTGAGGCCATTCTCCTCCTTCAGCACTTTATGGACCCCATTGTTAATCCCCGTCATAACAGAGGCATTGTCAGTCCATATCCCCAGGAGTTTCTCTTTTTTAAGACAACACTTCTCGAGGAAAGCCACAACAGCACGGGCTATAGATTTGGCATCTCCTCCCTCCAACTCAACAAGCCCCAGAAATGTTGATACAATTGTCTGCTTGGTGTCACTAAAGTACATTATCACAACCCCCAGGTACTTAGAAACACTTACATCCGTGGACTCATCGAGGAGGAGGCTGAAACGCTGGTCACCCACATCTGCGACCAACTTTTTCAGAAAGAAAAAGTCGCTAGATATGTCGCTAGTCGATTTTTTGAAAATGTGTCGCTAGAGGGGTATGAATACTCGCTAAATATAGCGACAAAGTCGCTAAGTTGGCAACACTGGCCGGCCCGTGTTGGTTCTGGGGTTTGCGTTATGGATGGGTTTATAGCTCTCTACCGCCATCATGTGGCCATCTAAGAGTATGACGTGTTTATCTACTGTACAGAACGACGGATGTGACGTAACTGTAACTGCGACATTTTCCGCTGCTGTGAATTCACGTGGAGTATTTTAAAGCAAGCACCATCAAGCACACGAGTGAACCCACCAAAATGAAACAAAAGGAAGGAGTAATGTACGTTTTTTTTTATTGTATAGTTAACGTCACTTGCTAGGAAACTAGCTAGCCATGTAGCATTCAAAACCGTGTTAGTTGAGCTCTTCCATCAAGCGAAATGTACTATGTAATGGCATCTGTGTTGTTTTACTCAAGTGTCACGGTTGTCCATAGCTGAAGTGTTTTCCTGTTGAATGACTGTTTCCTTAGAAAACCTAAGACGAAGAGGGCTAAGCGCTTTCTTGACAACAGAGCTCCCAAGCTTACAGAGAACGTAAAGAATGCCATGATCATGAAAGGAGGCAACACCAGTATGACTGTCACTCAAGCGCTGAAGGACATTGTACGTTTTCTGACTGTCGACCCTCTCCTACCAGAATCATGAAGACTGTCAAGTTTTGAGTGCCAGATGGCTAGATAACTGTTAATTTATTTTTCTCTCCAGTATGCCCTGAAGAAACCATGTGCTGTACTGTACAAAAAGTAAGTGACGGATTTTAAAGGTCCAATGCAGCCGTTTTTATCTCTTATCAAATCATTTCTAGGTAACAAATGACTACCTTACTGTGATTGGTTAAAATTAAAATGGTCAAAAAGAAACAAAAATAGCTTCTTAGTGCTAGCATAAAAGGTATTTACTATCTGTGAGTGGGAAAACTGTTAATGGGAGAGAGGTTTGGAACTCTCTTATTGGTCTATTAACTAATTTATAGCCTGGTGATGTAATGGAGCCAATTTGTAAGTCGCTCTGGATAAGAGCGTCTGCTAAATGACGTAAATGTAATGGAGCCAGATGCCTGCCAAAAGGTTAGGATTGTAAGAAAATTCATACATCAATTGTTAGGATCATAAGAAAAGCCATGTGTGAAACATGAACGTAAACGTGACATTTCATCTGTGAACATTCAAACACCATGTTACGATTACATTATAGGCTTGAACAAATCTTGTTGCAATTCTGACATACATTAATACCTTTCAGAGTTTTGGCAGATTCATCTCACCAACAAAAAAAACATTGGAGTCTTTGCCACTTAAATATTTTTTTTATATAATATTTTGACATTTATTTCATCACTCAAAATCTTGCCAAAGCATATCCTGTAGGAGGGGTTAATATTTTTTGATATGATTTATATGAATCGGGTCATGAACATATGGACTATGAAATGAACAAGGGAGAGGTATGGACTATGAAATGAACAAGGGAGAGGTAGGCAAAGTCTAGCATTCGTTTATTCCCACGCTTTACAATAACTCTGTTGCAGTGGTCTTAGGTAGTCTCCGTATAGGCTATTCCCTCCATTGCAACACTGCTGCCCAGTTGAAGAGCTTGTGATCTCCATGCAGCACCATGCACCTTCGGAAAAGCACCCCTCAGCCTCAGAAGAGACCCTTCTGGAGGCATGCAGTCATAGTCATTATACCCTAATGTAGGCCTATTTGCCTACTAGCCAAATAAAGTGCAGAGCATGCATGAGGTGTGCAACTCGTCATTCCAACATATTTGAACATTTAATTCATCCTTTGTTCAGTCAGTCAGTATGGCATCCATTCAGTCATTTGTCTGAGTTGGAATAGGAACTAAATCAAAGAGAATATAACTGTCTTATCCATTTGTTTATTGAAATCATGTGTATTCAAAATAATCTAAATTCTCAAGTTCTTTAGCCAATCACTTTCTTTTAATTATTATTATTTTTTTTTCACCTTTTATTTAACCAGGTAAGCCAGTTGAGAACAAGTTCTCATTTACAACTGCGACCTGGCCAAGATAAAGCAAAGCAGTGCGATAAAAACAACAACACAGAGTTACATATGGGGTAAAAAAACATAAAGTAAAAAAAATAGGGTATTTACAGGCTATTTACAGACACACGACAAAAACAGGACTGCACTACTACGCCATCTTGGATTCTATCTTTAATAATTCAATGTTTAATTTAAGCCTATCCAAATAAAAAATAGGCCTTCAACTTGTAGGCATTGCAATTTAGGCTATAAGTTTGGGTACTGGTGTCTTGCGGAATAATTTTAGAACTCTATTTGTGTTTTATAACTGTTTTTATTATAGGGCTCCCCTTTAAAGAGTCCCTAGCTCACAGGCCTCTAAATATGGCCTCTAAATATGGTCTCTAAATATGGCCTCTAAATAAATTTTGAACAAAATAGTTGAAGAAGCACGTGCAGTGGCTGATAGGGAAAACAGATCTAGCAATAAGAATAGGATATAGATAGTCTTGACCATTTGAGACCCCTTGGCTATTTCGCTCAGGATAGGTTATAGCCAAGACTTAATCAATATTTTGTTATGTCTCATTTATTGATATGGATATAGCCTCTGTGATGGGGTTGTGCAACGAAAATGGTTATAACAAGCATACATACAGAGCGGAATTCACTAATACAACACTCAAAATGCCTAATATAAGGCCTACAGTTCGTGCTCACAAATACTGGAAAAAGTGTGATTCATTAGGTTATATGATCACTACAATAGCCCGACCTGGCTATACAAATGAATTATGCAATTATATGGCCATTAAATAACACACAACAGCATGGCATATTTAGATGGCGGAATAGGCCTAAATCTAATTTACTTTCTATTTTGCAGCTGAGACGGTTATTCTAGACAAGGCTCTTCTGTGTCTTTGAAGAATGGCACTGAAGGAGATGGCTGCTGTTTTACGGGCTCCTAATGAATTGTGCCATTGTGTGTGTTTTTACGCGTTATTTGTAACTTATTTTGTACATAATGTTTCTGCCACTGTCTCTTATGATCGAAAAGAGCTTCTGGATATCAGGACAGCGATTACTCACCTCGTACTGGACAAATACTTTTTCTTTAACGAGTCAGAGGCGAAGGATTTTCTTCAGACACCCGACAAGGCCCAAATCCCCGTCATTCAAATCAAATTATATTTGCCACATGCGCCGAATACAACAAGTGTAGACCTTACAGTAAAATGCTTACTTACAAGCCCTTAACCAACAATGCAGTTTTGAGAAAAAAAAAGTGTTACGTCCGTGTAGCCATGATTAGCTGTTCAGGAGTCTTATGGCTTGGGGGTAGAAGCTGTTAAGAAGCCTTTTAGACTTAGACTTGGCGCTCCGGTACCGCTTGCCGTGCGGTAGCAGAGAGAACAGTCTATAACTAGGGTGGCTGGAGTCTTTGACAATTTTTAGGGCCTTCCTCTGACACCGCCTGGTATAGAGGTCCTGGATGTCAGGAAGCTTGGCCCCAGTGATGTACTGGGCCGTACGCACTACCCTCTGTAGTGCCTTGTGGTCAGAGGCCGAGCAGTTGCCATACCAGGCGGTGATGCAACCAGTCAGGATGCTCTCGATGGTGCAGCTGTATCACTTTTTGAGGATCTGAGGACCCATGCCAAATCGTTTGTCTCCTGAGGGGGAATAGGCTTTGTCGTGCCCTCTACACGACTGTCTTGGTGTGTTTGGACCATGATAGTTTGTTGGTGATGTGGACACCAAGGAACTTGAAACTCTCAACCTTTTCCACTACAGCCCCGTCGATGAGAATGGGGGTGTGCTCAGTCCTCTTTTTTTCCCCCCTGTAGTCCACAATCATCTCCTTTCGCATGAGAAAGAGACAGAGATATCGGGGACGTAGGTCAGGGTGCCTTGTAAGGATCTGACGGCGAGTGCGTAATCTGCCTCTACCATCAGACTTATTAGCCAACGTACAATCATTGGATAACAAAATAGACGAACTAAGATCACGGACATCCTACCAACGGGACATTAAAAACTGTAATATCTTATGTTTCCCCTAGTCGTGGCTGAACGACGACATGGATAACATACAGCTGGCGGGATATACGCTGCATCGGCAAGATAGAACAACTGGGTGGCGGTCTGTGTATATTTGTAAACAACAACTGGTGCACGAAATCTAATATTAAGGAAGTCTCAAGGTTTTGCTCGCCTGAGGTAGAGGATCCCATGATAAGCTGTAGACCACACTATTTACCAAGAGAGTTTATCTATATTTTTTGTAGCTGGCTATTTACCACTCAAACCGATGCTGGCACTAAAACCACACTCCATGAGCTGTATAAGGCCATAAGCAAACAGGAAAATGTTCATCCAGAGGCGGCGCTCCTAGTGGCCGGGGACTTTAATGCAGGCAAACTTAAATCCGTTTTACCTAATTTCTACCAGCATGTTACATGTGCAACCAGAGGAAAAAAAACTCTAGACCACCTTTACTCCACACACAGAGACGCGTACAAAGCTCGCCCTCCATTTGGCAAATCTGACCATAACTCTATCCTCCTGATACCTGCTTACAAGCAAAAACTAAAGCAGGAAGCACCAGTGACTAGGTCAATAAATAAGTGGTCAGATGACGCATATGCTAAGCTACAGGACAGTTTTGCTAGCACAGACTGGAATATGTTCCGGGATTCTTCCGATGGCATTGAGGAGTACACCACATCAGTCACTGGCTTCATCAATAAGTGCATCGATGACATCGTCCACACAGTGACCGTACATACCCCAACCAGAAGCCATGGATTACAGGCAACATCCGCACTGAGCTAAAGGGTAGAGCTGCCGCTTTCAAGGAGCAGGAGTCTAACCCGGATGCTTATAAGAAATCCTGCTATGCCCTCCGACGAACCATCAAACAGGCAAAGCGTCAATACAGGAATAGGATTGAATCATACTACACCGGCTCCGACGCTCGTCAGATGTGGCAGGGCTTGCAAACTATTACAGACTACAAAGGGAAGCACAGCCGCGAGCTGCCCAGTAACACGAGCCTACCAGACAAGCTAAATTACTTCTATGCTCGCTTCGAAACAAGCAACACTGAAGCATGCATGAGAGCATCAGCTGTGCCGAACGACTGTATGATCACACTCTCCGTAGCCGATATGAGTAAGACCTTTAGACAGGTCAACATTCACAAGGCCAGACGGATTACCAGGATGTGTACTCTGAGCATGCGCTGACCAACTGGCAAGTGTCTTCACTGACATTTTCAACCTGTCCCTGACTGAGTCTGTAATACCAACATGTTTCAAGCAGATCACCATTGTCCCTGTGCCCAAGAACACTAAGGTAACCTGCCTAAATGACTACCGACCCGTAGCACTCACGTCTGTAGCCATGAAGTGCTTTGAAAGGCTGGTCATGGCGCACATCAATTCCATTATCCCAGAAACCCTAGACCCACTCCGATTTGCATACCGCCCCAACATATCCACAGATGATGCAATCTTTATTGCACTCCACACTGCCCTTTCCCACCTGGACAAAAGGAACACCTACGTGAGAATGCTATTCAGTGACTACAGCTCAGCGTTCAACACCATAGTGCCCTAAATGCGCATCACTAAGCTAAGGATCCTGGGACTAAACACCTCCCTCTGCAACTGGATCCTGGACTTCCTGACGGGCCGCCCCCAGGTGCTAAGGGTAGGTAACAACACATCTGCCACACTGATCCTCAACACAGGGGCCCCTCAGGGGTGCGTGCTCAGTCCCTTCCTGTATTCCCTGTTCACCCATGACTGCATGGCCAGGCACGACTCCAACACCATCATTAAGTTTGCCGACGACACAACAGTGGTAGGCCTGATCACCGACAACGATGAGACAGCCTATAGGGAGGAAGTCAGAGACCTGGCTGTGTGGTGCCAGGATAACAACCTCTCCCTCAACGTGATCAAGACAAAGAAGATGATTGTGGACTACAGCAAAAAGAAGAGGGCCGAGCACGCCCCCATTCTCATCAACTGGGCTGTAGTGGAACAGGTTGAGAGCTTCAAGTGCCTTGGTGTCCACATCACCAACAAACTATCACAGTCCAAACACACCAAGGCAGTCGTGAAGAGGGCACGACAAAGCCTATTCCCCCTCAATAGACTGAAAAGATTTGGGTCCTCAGATCCTCAAAGTTCTACAGCTGCACCATCGAGAGCATCCTGACTGGTTGCATCACTGCCTGGTATGGCAACTGCTCGGCCTCCGACCGCAAAGCACTACAGAGGGTAGTGCGTACGGCCCAGTACATCACTGCAGTCAAGCTTCCTGCCATCCAGGACCTCTATACCAGGCGGTGCCAGAGGAAGGCCCTAAAAATGCTTGAAGACTCCAGCCACCCTAGTCATAGACTGTTCTCTCTGCTACCGCACGGCAAGCAGTACCGGAGCGCCAAGTCTAGGTCCAAAAGGCTTCTTAACAGCTTCTACCCCCAAGCCATAAGACTCCTGAACAGCTAATCAAATGGCTACCCAGACTATTTGCATTGTTCCCCCCCACCCCCTATTTTACGCTGCTGCTACTCTCTGTTTAGTATCTATGCATAGTCACTTTAACTCTACCTACATGTACATATTACCTCAATTACCTTGACTAACCTGTGCCCCCGCACATTGACTCTGTACCGGTACCCCCTGTATATAGCCTCGCTACTGTTATTTTACTGCTGCTCTTTTAATGATTTTTTTATTTTTATTTTTTACTTATCTATTTTTGACTTAACATTTATTTTTCTTAACTGCATTGTTGGTTAAGGGCGCGTAAATAAGCAGTTCACTGTAAGGTCTACACCAGTTGTATTCGGCGCATGTGACAAATAACATTTGATTTGATTTATCAAAAGGTAATTTGCTGAAGGCCCAAGCCTATACTACGCCATCTACTGGTATAACATTGTTATTGAATGCAGTTCTAAAACAAGATCTTGACATTTATTTTGGAAATGAAACCGGAAGCTGCAAAGCAACTCTAACATCTGGGCAAAAGTTGCTTCACTGACTGGCTGACTTCAATTAGCTACGTTTGGTTCGTGTCCTTTGCAGATGCCACCTTACTGACAAAAGTTTGTACGCATAAAAAATATCTGTAACCGAGTAAAGGGAGACGTAAAGTAAGAATATAACGTGTAAATGTTCATTCATAGTCGTTAAATAGGGTTTAACGTTTACGTTTCATGTTTCACGCATGGCTTTTCTTACGATCCTAACAATTTAGGTATGGATTTTCTTACGATCCTAACGATATGTACGCTCAACCTTTTGGCAGTTATCCGGCTCCAAATGATGTAACCAGGCCAGCTGTTTTCAGCAACTGTATTTTTTTATTCGGTTGTCATATTGGTAGGTTTGCTAGCAACAAACGATTTAGCTAGCTTCTAGCCTAGTGTTTGATATGCGATCTCCTCGTAATTAACAGTCAGTATTGACCGGTGTCCAGACGAGAAGACAAACTTTTCTAGCTATGCCATGCAAAATCAGGCATTATCAGCTCATTGTTATGGATGTATCCAAATGAATGTCAATAGAAATGTTATTCTGGCTGCAGAGGTCATGACTGTGTTAGCCATAGCTAGCTGGCTAGCTAGCAAGGGATAGGAACGTTGCCGATCATAAACAGCGAACGACTGGGTCTGTCCTAATCGAACGAACGACTGGGTTGCGTCTCTAGCAACCAAAATATGAGAAAGTATGAATACACTTATATAAATGAAATATCACGATTTTGGGGGGTTTTCTACCGGTACATGTGTGCTTAGTATTGTTTTCTTTGCAACTGTGGTATAAGTGGGAGAACTGCTTAAACAAACGCAACGAATTATACTTTTCTGTTATTGTGGCTGCAGAGGTAGTGACTGTTTAGCCATAGCAAGTTGGCTAGCTAGCAGCAAGCAAGGGATAAGAATGTAGCCACTGAGCATGGCAATGGAACATAAAGAACGAACTACTGGGTCGCGTCTCTAGCAACCAGAATTTGCTTATGAAAATATAAACGAAAAATAAGTATTTATACCGGTAAATGTGTGCTTACATTTTGTTTTCTTTGGCAACTGTGGTACACTACATGACCAAAAGTATGTGGACACCTGCTCGTCGAACATCTCATTCCAAAATCATGGGCATTAATATGGATTTGGTCCCCCCTTTTCTGCTATAACAGCCCCCACTCTTCTGGGAAGGCTTTCCACTAGATGTTGGAACATTGCTGCAGGGACTTCCTTCCATTCAGCCACAAGCATTAGTGAGTTCAGGAACTGATGTTGGGTGACTAAGCCTGGCTCGCAGTTGGCGATCCAGTTCATCCCAAAGATGTTCGATGGGGTTGAGGTCAGGGCTCTGTGCAGGACAGTCAAGTTCTTTCACACCGATCTCGACAAACCATTTCTGTATGGACCTCGCTTTGTGCACAGGGCATTGTCATGCTGAAACAATAAAGGGCCTTCCCCAAACTGTTGCCACAAAGTTGGAAGCACAGAATAATCTAGAAAGTAATTGTATGCTATAGCATTATTTCCCTTCACTGGAACTAAGGAGCCTAGCCCGAACCATGAAAAACAGCCCCAGACCATTATTCCTCCTCCACCAAACTTTACAGTTGGCACTATGCATTGGGGCAGGTAGCGTTCTCCTGGCATCCGCCAAACCCAGATTCGTCCATCGGACTGCCAGATGATGAAGCGTGATCCATCACTCCAGAGAATGCGTTTCTACTGCTCCAGAGTACAATGGTGGCGAGCTTTACACCACTCCAGCCGACGCTTGGCATTGCGCACAGTGATCTTAGGCTTGTGTGTGGCTGCTCGGCCATGTAAACCCATTTCATGAAGCTCCTCACGAACAGTTCTTCTGCTGATGTTGCTTCCAGAGGCAGTTTGGAACTCGGTACTGAGTGTTGCAACCGAGGACAGATGATTTTTACGTGCTTCAGCACTCTGCTGTCCCATTCTGTGAGCTTGTGTGTCCTACCACTTCATGGCTGAGCCGTTGTTGCTCCTAGGCATTTCCAGTTCACAATAACAGCACTTACAGTTGACCGGGGCATTTCTAGCAGGGCAGAAATGTGACTAACTGACTTGTTGGGAAGGTGGCATCCTATGACGGTGGCATCCCTGTGTCACAGAGCTCTTCAGTAAGACCATTCTACCGCCAATGTTTGTCTATGGACATTGCATGGCTGTGTGCTCGATTTTATACACCTTTCAGCAACGTAGCCGAATCCACTAATTTTGAAAGGGTGTCCACATACTTTTGTGTATATATAGTGTATCAGCGGGATAAACGCCTCCGTTCTGTATATAATTTTTACAAGTTAAACTTCGCGATGGACTCATGCTACTTACGCCAAATCGTACCACGCTCAGTCGCTTAGGTCACTCGTTTTGCCCATTCTAACGTTCAATCAAACAGTAACGGAATGCCTTAGGCCTGTCTGCCTGCTTTACTGTCTGTAGGAGCTAACCATTTTTGTGAACGGGGTGGTGAACCTAATAAACTGGCAATGGAGTGTGTGTGTGTGTATATCTGTCTCAGGAAAATCACGTTTTTGACTGCACTGGGGCTTTAACTTTACTTGAGTAGGAGAACCGTTATTATTTTAACAAATCCAGTATTGTGGTAGTACTGAAATTATTGTATTTAGTCTTCATGTTTTATTTTCCCCCTGTAAACATTGGATATTTACAGCAACTTGGGCATAAAGGACTGAGTATACTGAAATAATAACAAAACATAAATAGTCCATCTATTGTTAGTACTTGAGAAATGTGTTTTTTTATTGTGCATGTAAACTAAATGTTGTCTTTCCTTCCAGGAAAAATATAACCAGGCCATTTGAAGATTCTACATCATTGGTCAGTTAACCAGAGATAATGCATGTCTTCAGTACCCTCTAATAACTGATTTGTTTAACCTGATAATACCAATTGTTTTTGATTCCTCTAGTTCTTAAACATGCACAGTATAGTGAGTGTTTCAATGTAGTAGTAAAGTGTATCTTAATCCTGGTCCAAGGGACATTTTTGTTGTAGCCCTAGCACTACACACCGGAATTCTAGTGGAATCAGGCGTGTAGTGCTAGGGAAAACACAAACATTTGCTCCTCTTTGGGTCCACAGGACCAGGATTAAAAAACACTGCAGTAGTGTAATAGTTAGCATCACTTTAAAATGCAATGTATTCACTGCACTGCCATTTCCCATCACCAATATTTTGTCTGTCTACAGGAATTCTTCTCGAAGAAAACGGATAGCTCCCTGTTTTTGTTTGGCTCACACAACAAGAAAAGGCCAAACAATCTCATATTTGGTAAGCATTTTTGTATTCTATCATTGGGAGACAGAGACCTTGCTCTCTACACGAGATGTCTAGTACTTTTCAAAGCAGATAAGGGTTTGACCTTGTTTTTCTCCTTTCCTTTTTACCGATTACAGGTCGTCTGTTTGATTTCCACGTGCTGGATATGATTGAGCTGGGCATTGAGAAGTATAACTCCTTGAGTGAGATCAAGGTGATGTTTCTGCAGTTTCTATAGTCATTTGTAGTTGTGTTGTTTCACATTGCTGCATGATACCACTGATGTGAGTTCTGGAGTTGTATCAATGTTTTTTGCAGAGTGTGTTCAGTACCTGATGTTCTGTACATTCTTAATCTCCCCAAATCTTAGTTCTTTAAGTGTCGTCACCACATTTCTGTACATGCACTCTGCTACAAAAAGCCAAATGAATACACCTCCTTGGATACAGGGGTCTGAATGAACAACTACAAATTAACTATTTCCTCTTAACACTATTTTAGACACACTGTTTCCCTGTTCTTTTAATTTTTTTAATTTTTGTTTTACTGATAAAAACATGCCAAAACACTTGTGTGGAACAGGCACCCATGGACTGTGAACAAGTGAAGTTAGTGTTACCCGTCATATCATAATCTTCCTCCTGTCATTTTATGTTCTGTTTCCAATGCATTGCAGAGCAGCAAATGTCCTGAGGGGACCAAACCGATGCTGGTGTTTGCAGGGGAGGCTTTTGATCATGATAATGACCACAAACGCCTAAAGAGCCTTCTTACAGGTACAATTTAGTCTTAATCTAAACATTTACATTCGGTGTTAATCAGACGTCGTGGGGTTAATTTCAGTCCTACCCCTTCAGTTAGAACAAATTTCCTCTAACTATACTGAACAAAAATAGAAACGCAACATGCAACAATTTCTACGATTTTACTGAGTTACAGTTCATAAAGGAAATCAGTCAATTGAAATAAATTCATTAGGCCTAATCTATGGATTTCACATGACTGGGCAGGGGTGCAGCCATAGGTGGGCCTGGGAGGGCATAGGCCCCACCCACTTGGGAGCCAGGTCAACCCACTGGGTAGCCAGGCCCAGCCAATCAGAATGAGTTTTTCCACACAAAAGGGCTTTATCACAGACATAAATACTCCTCAGCACCCCCAGTTCGATGTACTGCCAAATTCTATAAAAAAAGACTGATGCGGCTTATGGTAGAGAAATTAACATTAAATTATCTGGCAACAGCTCTGTTGGACATTCCTGCAGTCAGTATGCCAATTGCACGCTCCCTCAACTTTAGACATCTGTGGCATTGTTGTGTGACAAAAATGCATATTTTAGTGGCATTTTATTGTCCCCAGCACAAGGTGCACCTCTGTAATGATCATGCTGTTTAATCAGCTTCTTGATATGCCACACCTGTCAGGTGGATGGATTATCTTGGCAAAGGAGAAATGATCACCCACAGCCCATCTGAAATTAGCCCACCCAACTACCTCATCCCTATATTGTTATTTATTTGGCTCTTTTGCACCCCAGTATCTCTATTTGCACATAATCTCTTGCACATCTAGCATTCCAGTGTTAATACTAATTGTAATTATTTTGCACTATAGCCTTTATTGCCTTACCTCCATAACTTGCTACATTTGCACACACTGTATATATATTTTCTGTTGTATTTTTTGACTTTGTTTTGTTTACCCCATATGTAACTCTGGTTGTTTTTATCGCACTGCTTTGCTTTATCTTGGCCAGGTCGCAGTTGTAAATGAGAACTTGTTCTCAACTGGCTTACCTGGTTAAATAAAGGTGAAAATAAAATAAAATAAAAGGATGTAAACAAACAAATTTGTGCACAACATTTGAGAGAAATAAGCTTTTTATTCCAGCTCATGAAAAATGGGACCAACATTTTACATGTTGCGTTTTATTTTTGCTCAGTATAATTTTTTTGGGGGGGAAACATACCTTCACAATCCATAGTATTTTTGTAGTTTGTAATAATATTGCATTTCATGTCAGCGGTGCTATTTTACTTTTTTTTTCTTCTTTTTTTTTCTTGTCGTACAGACTTCTTCAGGGGTCCTGTTGTGCCTTCTGTGCGTCTGGCTGGTCTGGAGCATGTCCTGCACTTCACTGCTCTGGAGGGGAAAATCTACATGCGCAGCTACAGGTATGTCTGCCTGCTAGCAGCTAGACCATCTACCAATGCCTCATATTATTCACGTTAGATTATGGATGAATTACATATGATCTGCATCTTTCACCCCTGAAATGATCACTAGTCAAAGCTCTTTGGTTTCTCAAGATCTCTGTTGAAGAAGTCTGGATGTCGTACACCAAGAATTGAGCTGGAGGAGATTGGGCCGTCTTTTGACTTTGTCTTGCGGAGAACCCACCTGGCATCAGACGACCTGTACAAGACTGCTCACAGACAGCCCAAGGCTCTGAAGGTATGAAACATGTCTAGTTGCAGTCATCTTTTTCAATCTCTTTCAAGAGTCGCTATGTTGAATGTCACGCAAGGTTGCTTCTTTTTAAAAGTATCTTAATTGCACAATGGTATTGTGTGCCATTGGCCAAATAATGAAGAAGTATCTATGTAATGAAATGAAACATCAAGGCAATCACAGTCATCATGTTGTTCTTTGTCAATTCTGTTCTTTACAGCCCAAGAAGAAGAAGAACATATCCCACGATACCTTTGGTACCAAGTTTGGCAGGTTGCACATGCAGAAGCAGGATCTGGCCAAGCTGCAGACACGTAAGATGAAGGGTCTGAGGAAGAGGGGCCCGGCAGCCGCTGCTGTTGTGGAGGGAGAGACGTCCCCGAAAACAGCCAAAGTAGAAGTAGAGTGAAGTCTTCCCAGGCTTTAATGGACGTTTCACAAGCTCACGTCACGCTAACTGTGGACGTTGACTGATGTCTTCAGAATTCTCATCAATGATGAAAGAATTACCCCCACATGCATGTTTACCTTCTGAAGGCATGTTTGTCAATGTGGTGTGCTTGTCAATATCTCTTGTTAATGATGTACAAATCGTGTTCATTCTGTTGCTTAGTCTGGAAATGTTTTGTGTGAAAGGCAAGCCCGTCAGATATGTGTGCATAAGGGGAAAAAAAGCGTAGTTCAATTAACTGTCAATGTTCTAAAATAAAATACTCTAAAATACAGTATTTTAATCTCTACTTTGCGGAAGCATTGTCAATGATTACATGTATTTGTACATATGTCTCGTGCTGTTCTTTTCAGAGGTTTTACAATGTATTTCTTTTTTGTCGTGCACAAGTACAGTGAAATGCCTTTCTTGCAAGTTCTTTCCCCAACAATACAGTAATCAATATTGGTAGTACTATTAAAAAGTAGAAGAAAAAAGAACACAAGTAAGCTATGTACAGGGTCAGTTCCAATACCATATTTACAGTGTGCAGAGATACTTAAGTGGTAGGGGTAGATATGTATAGGGGTAAGGTGACTGGGCATCAGGATATACAGTTGAAGTCGGAAGTTTACATACACTTAGGTTGGAGTCATTAAAACTTGTTTTTCAACCACTCCACAAATTTCTTGTTAACAAACTATAGTTTTGGCAAGTCGGTTAGGACATCTACGTTGTGCATGACACAAGTAATTTTTCCAACAATTGTTTACAGACTGATTATTTCACTTATAATTCACTATCACAATTCCAGTGGGTCAGAAGTTTACATACACTAAGTTGACTGTGCCTTTAAACCTTGGAAAATTCCAGAAAATGATGTCACAGCTTTAAAAGCTTCTTATAGGCTAATTGACATCATTTGAGTCAATTGGAGGTGTACCTGTGGATGTATTTCAAGGCCTACCTTCAAACTCAGTGCCTCTTTGCTTGACATCATGGGAAAATCAAAAGAAATCAGCCAAGACCTCAGAAAAAAAATGGTAGACCTCCGCAAGTCTGGTTCATCCTTGAGAGCAATTTCCAAACGCCTGAAGGTACCACGTTCATCTGTACAAACAATAGTACGCAAGTATAAACGCCATGGGACCACGCAGCCGTCATACCGCTCAGGAAGGAGACTCGTTCTGTCTCCTAGAGATGAACGTATTTTGGTGCGAAAAGTGCAAATCAATTCCAGAACAACAGCAAAGGACCTTGTGAAGATGCTGGAGGAAACAGGTACAAAAGTATCTATATCCACAGTAAAACGAGTCCTATATCGACATAACCTGAAAGGCCGCTCAGCAAGGAAGAAGCCACTGCTCCAAAACCGCCATAAAAAGCCAGACTACGGTTTGCAACTGCACATGGGGACAAAGATGATACTTTTTGGAGAAATGTCCTCTGGTCTGATGAAACAAAAATAGAACTGTTTGGCCATAATGACCATCGTTATGTTTGGAGGAAAAAGGGGGAGCTTGCAAGCCGAAGAACATCATCCCAACCATGAAGCACGGGGGTGGCAGCGTCATGCTGTGGGGGTGCTTTGCTGCAGGAGGGAGTGGTGCACTTCACAAAATAGATGGCATCATGAGGAAGGAAAATTATGTGGATATATTAAAGCAACATCTCAAGACATCAGTCAGGAAGTTAAAGCTTGGTCGCAAATGGGTCTTCCAAATGGACAATGACCCCAAGTATACTTCCAAAGTTGTGGCAAAATGGCTTAAGGACAACAAAGTCAAGGTATTGGAGTGGCCATCACAAAGCCCTGACCTCAATTGTATAGAAAATGTGTGGGCAGAACTGAAAAAGCGTGTGCGAGCAAGGAGGCCTACAAACCTGACTCAGTTACACCAGCTCTGTCAGAAGGAATGGGCCAAAATTCACCCAACTTATTGTGGGAAGCTTGTGGAAGGCTACCCGACACGTTTGACCCAAGTTAAACAATTTAAAGGCAATGCTACCAAACACTAATTGAGTGTATGTAAACTTCTGACTCACTGGGAATGTGATGAAAGAAATAAAAGCTGAAATAAATCATTCTCTCTACTATTATTCTGACATTTCACATTCTTAAAATAAAGTGGTGACCCTAACTGGCCTAAAACAGGGAATCTTTACTAGGATTAAATGTCAGGAACGGTGAAAAACTGAGTTTAAATGTATTTGGCTAAGGTGTATGTAAACTTCCGACTTCAACTGTATGATGATTGTGTGTGTGTAGTCAGTATGAATGCATCTGTGTGTTGTGAGAGCGTGTAGCATGTGCATAGTCAGTGCAAAAATAGAAGGGTCAATGCAGATCGTCTGTGTAGCCATTTTGTTAGCTATTTAGCAGTCTTATGGCTTGGGGATATAAGCTGTTCAGGAGCCTGTTGGTGTCAGACTTGTTTCTCTGGTACCGCTTGCCGTGCGGATGGAGAGAGAACAGTCTATGGCTTGTGTGGCTGGAGTCTTTACAATTTTCACACCGCCTGATAGCGAGGTCCTGGATGGCAGGGAGCTTGGCCCCAGTCATGTAGCGCCATGCGATCAAGGGCGGTGCAGTTGCCATACCAAGCAGTGACGCAGTCACTCAAGATGCTCTCAACGGTGCAGCTGTAGAACTTTTTGAGGATTTGAGGGCACATGCCAAATCTTCAACCTCCTGAGTGGCGCAGTGGTCTAAGGCTGCAGTGCTAACTGTGCCATTAGAGATCCTGGTTCGAATCCAGGCTCTGTCGCAGCCGGCCGCGACCGGGAGACTCATGGGCGGCGCACAATTGGCCCAGCGTCGTCCAGGGTAGGGGAGGGAATGGCCGGCAGGGATGTAGCTCAGTTGATAGAGCATGGCGTTTGCAATGCCAGGGTTGTGGGTTCGATTCCCACGGGGGGCCAGTATAAAAAAAGATGTATTCACTAACTGTAAGTCGCTCTGGATAAGAGCGTCTGCTAAATGACTAAAATGTAAATGTAAAATGAAGGGGCGCTTTCGCGCCTTCACAACTGTTTGCGTGTGTATGGACCATTTTAAGTCCTTAGTGATATGGACACCAAGGAACTTTAAGCTCTCAACCCGCTCTACTGCAGCCCCATCGATGGGGGCGGGCTTGCCCACCGTTTCCTGTAGTTCATGATCAGCTCTTTGGTCTTACAGACCTTGAGGGAGAGGTTGTCCTGGACCACACTGCCAGGTCACTGACCTCCCTATAGGCTGTCTCGTCGTCGCCGGTGATCAGGCCTACCACCGTCGTGTCGTCAGCAAACTTGAGTCGTGCGTGGCCACGCAGTCGTGGGTGAACAGTGAGTACAGGAAAGTACAAAGCATGCCCCCGTATAGAGGGACAGCGTGGCAGAGGTGATGTTGCCTACCCTCACTACCTGGGGTCGGCCCATCAAGAAGTCCAGGGTCCAGTTGCAGAAGGAGTCCTAGGGTCCCAAGGTTGGTGACGAGCTTGGAGGGGGCTATGGTATTGAATGTTGAGCTATAGTCAATGAACAGCATTCTCACATAGGTATTCCTCTTAGCTAGGTGGTAGAGAGTTTAGTGAGAGTAGAGGGCAAACTTCATAAAGGGTGGGACAAGTAAACCATGCAACTGTGGAGAAGGGACTGTTCAGTATTCTACTTTTCACTCTGCTGCCACAAAACCCTTAGGTATATAGATTTACCTTCATATGAACAAATCACAATTGTAATCTCCTGACGTTAGATAAATTGGTATATTTCAGTCAGCTTTCAGGTATGAAAAGGTTGCTGGCAGATATGAAATGATATGGATATGAAATCAGAAGTATTGGTATTAAATCGCTGGATGTTTCTGGGGATAGTTAACTTTGTACACAAGAGGTAGCTGTTTGACTTTCTTCTCTTGAAACCTCTGGTCTCTGGTGTTATAATGAAATCAATAGCATAAATAGTCAAATTAAGTCTTATTTAGATGAAGTCATATTTAAAAGTTATAGATTTAGTTTTTAACAATGTACAGGCGTATCATGCTGATAATTTAGAAAACGTTGGGAACACACCTTCCACGTCGTTCATTATTTTCCATAGAACGCATAGCCCCTAGTAGATTATTATATTTTACTCAATACAGCACAAATTATAGTTCCCGAGACTCCTAAATTGACATTTTCCTTGCAAGAGGACGATAACTCCTCAGTATAAGAGAGAAAAATAAATGTGTTCTGGATCTTATCTTTAGAAAAATGTTTTTCACTTTTTCAAACACTACAGTAATTCTTCAATGTTCTGACGTCATACTTGAAAAATACGCCAGTAAGTCCAATCAGCGACAAAACCCCGGCATAATGTACGCACGCCCCGCCTCTCTGAGGTATCTATTTATACAATATTGCAACACTGACGTTGGACACGCACTATAGACAGTGCGGGCGGGTGGTAGAACATTTCAATAGGGCTACTGCTTCTGAATGGATGCAACTTCTCGATTACAATTCGCTGAAAGGAGATGCAAAGTCTTCATATTTGTAGATACACATTTTGGGGCATACCATCATCTGAATCTCTTCAGTTGAGCGTGACTGCAGCTTGAGAGCACATAATTTAGACTAGTTAGCGGCCAAGTCATATTATTGCTGTCATCATATTTGACAGTGTTAAAAATCTGCATAGTCGTGCCAAGAAATGACAGAAGGTACCAATATGACAGACAATGAATCTGACACAACTAAAGAAATGGTTCCTGCGGAAGAGACACCATTGAAGTCATATGAAAAGCGCCCTGAAGAAGCTGAGGAGAAGAACGAGAACGGGGGTAGCAAAGGAACCATCCAAGAGCAGGTCCCCGTGGCTGCGGAGGAGCCTGAGTTCGTGCACCCAGAAGGAGGATGGGGGTGGGTGGTTATGCTGGCTGCCATGTGGTGCAATGGAGCGGTGTTCGGAATCCAGAACGCCTTTGGCATCCTGTTCATGTCCCTCCTGAAAGAATTCGGCTCATCAGATGATGAAGACCTCAGGTTCAAAACAGGTGAGAAAAGTGGGCACAATGGCAAAACGGTAGCAAGCTGGCTAAATACTGTATTAGCCAGTTAGCTAGCAGCTCCATGCATCATCAAATATTTGTATTACTTTCTGGCTGCATATCAACATTTGACATTCATTTTCGTTCTTCCTGGTATGCTATTGGTGACTGATACTAGTGAACGGCATACAAATCACACTAATGGAACAAAGTTCAGAGAATGTCACCCTTCCAGCTAGCATGGTCTAGATTGTTATCTGGTGTCAGTAAACCAGT